CTTATAATTACCACAAACTTGTTAACACTTGACACCTACCACTGAGAGACGTCCTGCTCCAGTCGTGCTTGTGAATCAGTCTCTTGTCGATTAGCCAGTTCAACCGTTTTATCATCAGACTCCAGCTCGAATTGGTAAGGTACAATCGATACCATCTTTTCTATGTATTGACAAGTCTCCAGGCTGTCATTCCTTCATTGCAATGGGCATTTCGTTTCCAACACGCGCTGTACACGGTAGACCAATCCAGAGCCAATCTCTCTACGGCTCTGGACCAATCACAAATGACTGCCCCATCTGACTAATCACAGCAGTGAGGGCTCACGGAAAAGAGGGGTTTAGAGAGACTGATTCTTTGAACTGCTTCGCACGAGTCGTTTACGAACCATTTAGAAATTAGGTAAAATTAAATCAATTTTTTGAGAAAACTAACATGTTTTTTGACCTTGAATGCATGTAAACCTGTTTTAGGAGACTCATAAAACAATATTAGCAACCTTAAAAATTGCATAATAGGGGCACTTTAATGTGACTCATATATAACAAATACATGCATGCACAGTTTTAAAGCAGCTTTAATCGCCTTTTTGGTAACTTCATGACTTAAATGATGACATAACTACAACACTGCATGCTCGTAGTTTCTTTTGCACTTGTAATATGAAATGCACAGTGCGCGCCACTGCTTTTGTGCGTGCAATTGAAGAGCACGTGCTACGAGCACAGTATAATGGCTGACAGGACAGGAAAATTTGTTTTTACTGACAACATCTCATCTGACCGCAGTTCACTGTTGTTCTACTGAAGCTCCCTCGTCACCTGTACCTTTTCCGTGCTAGCGCCTGGCACTGAGGTGAAGTTGGAGTGTGTGTCTGAAAATCTCCCATTTGATGTGGTCGTAAAGATGTTCTGCATGTAAATAAACGCAATTCTCGTCAAGAAAAAAGAGACAGAAGCAGCAGTTGTGAGTGGGGTGGCCAAACCTAGCTCCACCGAGTGGAGTTAATTGCGTTAAATATTTTTTTTACATGTTAAACTGAAAAAAATAAATCGCATGCATTAGTGTGCTAATTTTGGCAGCACTAACTACAATAAAGTGTTCTGGAGAAAATCTCAAGTCCCTTGGTCTGTAACATTTGAGTAGGCATCATCAAACCAATATATACATTTCTCGGTTAAAGTGGAACATTCATTTCAAGAACAGCAACAAAAAATGTCTCTGATACCTGAGTGTGTGTGGGCGGCAGGCCTTTCCGGCCATAGACCCCCACCAGGGCGCCTCTCTGGACAGAGATGTTGAACTTGAGGGACTGTGGCTGGTCAATGAAGAGCTGAGAGCGCCAAAAAGTTCCTGGAGGGACATCCTGTACTGCTCTACGGCCCACATCCACCTCACCTGTGTCTATGGTGTTATTCTCTTGAAAGTAAACTCCTAGAAAGACAGATACAGGAAGATGACATTTGTAAGAGACAGACAAACCATAATTATGCTTATAACCTACCGGAAGTAGAAGTTATTCATTTTCAGCACACGCGATTTGGCCCTCTGAGATACTGTGCTCGAATGTATGCAAGATGGAAAACAAGCTAACGGTAACTGTGAGCAATTTCCCTGTTCTATATGATCTGCCTCTGCCCATATACAGGGACATAATTAAAAAGAGATGTGTGGAAATCCATGTTGAACCATGAAATTTTTGGCATTGCAAGGAAGTTTGATTCATGCATTGAAAATCATTCATCTTGTTCATCACGAATGCCTTGTTTACAGGCAATATATTCCATTTGTGATCATGTAAGCGTTATGGCAAGTATGGCAGGAAACCAATAACATTAGAACAACCAGCAGCAGGAACTACAACAAACTATACAGTAACATTTTCACATCACAGTCAGTATGTTCTATAAAGGTATTAAGCAACAATCTATGTGTTCAAACCGAACCTGAAACACAGATGGTGTATATGAGTGAATCTCTTTTTAAATGAAACCGTTTAAAAGTTCCTCCATTAGCAGCATATATGTTTGTGTGCCAATGCAATTGTGATTCTTGCTATAGCCTGAAATGTGATCAAACATTCATGAGGTATACCAGAATAGTCTCATTTCAGAAATCGTTAAATCACTTCATACAGCATTTAATTAGCATCTTTAAACCAACTCTTTCTGACCCTCACTCCCAAGATAAAAAACACAGTGAATTACCCAGCCAAAAGTAAAGAAAAAACTAAATTTTATACCATTATACTCTAGGGTATGTTAATGTTTATCAAAAGCATCGTTAGCCAGCTATGGTCACGAGTTTCACTGTTAGCAACATAGTTCAACGATTAGTTTTTTTCCTAAAACTTAAGCTCCAATGAACATATGATGTTGACTTGTGGACAGATTATGCTCTTGAGAAAAATAAGCAAGCTAACATGCAGAACAATCTATATCCGTCATTTCATATGAATACATATTTCATTTGACATCTTTTAGTTTGTCAAGACAATGAAAGAGCCGTTTTTGAAGTAACCTAGTAACCTGGGGGAAATCCAGATTATTACGTAAAATAAAAAACCTTGATTGAACCGAACATCTGTAAATAAAACAAAACAACAGAGAACAAATAGGGCAACTGTTTACACCAGTAATCTTAGTAAACAGTCATCACTAACTTGTTAATTTCTCCAATGATATATCATACTATGGTAGTTAAGCAGCGAGTATCCCTGGCAAAACACAACCCTTGTCAGCAGTGGGCATATTAATTTCCTGATATTAAAGGGACCTTGACGAGATTTAGAATAAACTTGATACATCAAGTATAGTTGCATTTATAAAGATCAGCCATAATGGTAATTGGCAAGCCACTGTTTTCCAAAAGTAGTCAACTGTGGTAATATTATATGCAGAGTATAAGCGAAGCTATTTGACTTCTCAGCTCTTCGTTAAACAATCTGGAAAGCTAATGTCTAGAAATTACACACACAAGCGCACAATGAACTCACCAACAGAAGCCTCAGCATATTCCAACCCCTCACAACATGTTACAAGGCAACAGTGCGGAATGGAGCGGTAATGGGAGAAGGAGAATAGGCTATGCTCATATGCTAGCTAATGGAGAGCAGCTGCCATTAATATTGCATTAATTATTATTGCGTAATTCCGTAGCATGCGGGCACTAACCATACGCGTGTTGCTAATGCAGTCAGTCGGTTACATAAAGAGCATGTTGGAGTGAATGAAAGAGTAATTAGAGAGGACTTGCTGACTGTTAGTTTTAATGTGAGTACGCCTGTGGCCCTAAATGCTCTACAGAGCAAACGAGATAAGTCATCTGTGAAGCTCTGATCAACAGTATTGTCCACAGGATAAAAAGAAGGGGATGGTATGCTTAGAAGAATGCCAGTGGAAAAGAGGTTTGCTTTCTGTGTGTGCCAGGGATGCCCGCGGTGTTTCTTGGACATGGATATTGAATTGGCATTTGCCCATGAGAATCGCAGAGATGTGGTAGGTTTGTTTTGGCTAGATGCAAAGACTCCCTAAAGCCCTGTACTTCTCTTTCTATTTCTCTTTCTTTGGCTTCTCTCTTCGTCTTAGCCATGTGATCTGCCAAACTGTCTTGATGTTTACTGTTTAAATGTGTGTGCATGTTTCTGTTGGTAAGGGTATTTTTTTCTATACCACATAAAATACCACTACTATCTGACAGATATCACTGACTGGATGTCCTTAGAAATGACACTTGTCTCAGTGACTGTCTCTGGCTCTGTAAAAAGCAAAAATCTGGAAGAATGTGGGTATATACAGGTATGCCATTACTTTTACATTTATGGTTGTTGGCACAGAATTTACACACTGCCCCTTAAAATAACAGTTCAACAAAAACAACAACAAAAAATATCACATTATTTACTAATTCTGTCATTCAGATCTTCTCAGTTTAATATCATGACATTTGGCCAAAGGTGAAATTTTTTAGTGAATTAAATGTAGGTTTGTTCTTCATACAAAGCTATCTCATGACTTCAGATTTTTTCAGAACTTTGAAGCTTGACAGCCCCTAGTTGCAATGAAATATAGCTGTATATAAAAGATCTACAGTATGTGGAAAATAAACTGCTGCTTTTTTGTGTTCTACAAAAAAAAAAGCACGAGTTTACAATGACATGAGGGTGAATAATTATGCCAGAATTAAATGTTTTGGCTGAACTACATTAATTAATATTAGTAGTAATAATGTGGACACAAATGGGAAAAAATATATTTAGGCTATTGCTTTCATACTGAACAAATTAAAAGAAAGGAGAGATGTAGATTTCTTGCTGCAGTGACAAATGACAAGCTGTTTGTGACAAAGTTTACACTCAAGTACTCAATCATGGTCATGCAACTATACAAAAACATGTCAAAAAGAGGCCTCATTTTTAATTTTGTCATTGGGTATGGTGTGACTTTCGCCGGTGTCTCACTGTACGACTCATTAGACAGCAATTTGCTTCAACACTGCACACACGCAGTGACTTTTAGTCCACAGCTGCAACAGTCAAGACTCAAGACACACACACTCTTACTTTCAAATGGCTAGACGGAGCACAGCTGAATGGGTCTTGAGACAGGGTCTTTAAAATAATTATTTTTGACTTGACATGTCACATAAAAAAACACAACCAAGTACTAAGTTTATTTCTGTATGTGCTGTCAGGTACTCCCATTGACACAATTACTAAAATGCACATTAGTGACAGAATTGAACTTTTCCATTAAGGGGTTGTACAACCCTTGTATTGACAGGGTATCAACAGCATGAGGCTAAACCCATGAAAATCAAAACACTTTTTTTGTGACTGATCACTCTGCCCTACACCTATCCTTGATTTCCCTTTTAATTCACTTGTTTCTGCCTCTCTCACTTTATACCTATTATTCACTCCCTTCAAAACACTCTCTCCATATGCTTTTATTGTCATCACCCCACTTTCTCCCTCTCTCACCATTTCTGTTGGGCCCTGAGAGACATTAACATTACACGTGTGATTTTGCCAAGTGTCTCCCCTTCTTCCAAATGCATTCAGTTGCAGATTTAGCACCTCTTTATGACTTTCAGAAAAGTCACTTGAGCAGTTTTTAATTCACTGAAGCCTGTGGAAGAGTGCCTGCGTGTGCATTAGGAGAAGCGGTGGTATATTCATTAAGAGAGTGTGAGAGAGTATCATGCTCGGCTCTCTTAGTTGCTGCAGTGGGACTGAATACAGAGCTGCTCAGATAATTTGTTAAAGAATGGTGCAGCACATAAATAAGGCCCCATGAAACATTGCTAAATGCAATGTTAGGTTCCACTTCCAGGCACCAGGGATAAAAAGTGGGATAAAATTCAGTTTTAAGTGCAAGCCTACAGCTTTCACACATCTGTGTGAGGATGATGGAGTCTCTGAAGGGTGTGTGTTTGAATACAAAGCAGTCAGTGTGAGGAACACTAAATTATTTTCTGAAAATTAAAACGACTGGTCTACATTTTTCAGTGTTTATGGAAATCAATCTCTTAAAAAAACAGCAAGTCCTCATATGGTAATGACATTCCCTACAGTCCTAGTCACATACAAACACACGCACCTCTGAAGCGAGACAGGCAATCTAAAGCACATCCTGTCATTTAGGAAAGAAACTGCACTGAGGCTATTGTCCCTGCTTTGAACACACACACGCACGCACGCACGCATGCACACACACACACACATGTCTGGTCAGCTATCCTTGTGCGGACTCTCCATAGGCGTAATGGTTTTTATACTGTACAGACCGTATATTCTATTGCCCTACACCAACCCTACCCCTAAACCTACCCCTCACAGGAAACTTTCTGCCTTTTTATCTTTTCAAAAAACTTCATTATGTGCAATTTATTAGCTTGTTTACCCGTGGGGACCTCAATTTAGGTCCCCACCGTGACACGAGTCCCCATGAATCTGTGTGTATTCAGGTTTAAGTCCCCACCAGAATAGAAAAACAGGTACACACATACACACACACACACACACACACACACACACAGAGCACTTGTAGCTCTTTTATGGAGTGAGTGCTTTTAGGTCAGCTGTCTCTCAAAGAAAGGTGAACTGCAGATGATAACAGCAGCACCCTCAGTTATTACTCGCTTTTTCTTCACTGGAGAAGAAGAGACAGACAAATAAGTGAGAGTGTGTACGTATTTCAAAGGGTCTACAGCAGGTATGTAAGTCAAACTTTGCTGCGTGTGATGCATGTTCAGTCTGTCAGTAAGTATCTGTGTGGATTTGCTGCGCTTCTATTCATGTGTCTGTGTGTGTTGGCAGCTTTTCTATCCTTGTGGGCATGAAATGTCTGAAAATCCCACTAGAAACACAATAAAACCTGACAAAACCAGCTAGCTGGGACATCCTTGTGAGGATAAATGGTTCATGAAAGAGCTAAATATGTCTAAAATTTTCTTAATGAAAGAAAATTCTGTAAGCCTTTTACAGATAGAGGTCGTGGTTAGCCTATATTTATAATTATACAGCAGTTAGATTCGGTTCATTTGAGAACTGATTTCTTATTTATAGAGGAAAATCCATAGAGTATAACATTCACAATTGTGCTGTCTTTCTCATGTCATATTGCTTAATTAAAGACCCCATGATGTGGCTTGATGAGCAAAATTTTCTGTGGGACATTCTCATTCTCATTCCGATTTGACAAATATCTGTGTAGTGCAGGATGATTCATCAATGTTTTTGGTCAGTTATCGAAGAAAAAACACTACCTTTCAAAAGTTTGGGGCTAGTACAATTTAAACAAAAAATAAATTAAACCCTCTACCGCACGCATTATGATAGACCTATAGAAAAAAATTCAGTAAGGATGCATTAAAATTCATCAATAGTGACCGTAAAGACAAATACATTGTTACAAAAGATTTCTATTTAAAATAAATACTGTTCTTTTTAATATTCGATTGTGAAAAAGAAGTATCAAAAATATTAAGCAGCACAAGTGTTTTGAACATTGATAATAGTAATACATGTTTGTTGAGCGTGAAATCAGCATATTAGAATTAAAATAATGTGAAAGACATATCCTAACAGACTAAAGGCTGTAATTAAAGCAAAAGGTGGTTCAACAAAAAATACTGACACAAGGGGGTGATCCGTTTTCTAACTCAGTGGTTCTGGGTTTAAATTTTTTACATTTTTTTCTGACATGTTGGTGTTATATCTTTCACTTGGATTTTATAGGTTGCACTGAGTAAATACAACTGGATAAAACACAAACTGTGTCTGTCTTCATTTCAGGCTGCAAAGCAACAAAATTTGATTATTTTAAAGGGTTCAACAAAATGTGATTCTTTTCTATACCCACTGTATGTTGACCGAAATCGCCAGACTGCAGTTTTCTGCCTGTGTTTGTATGTGACACGTCCTTCACAGAGAGCGGTGGTGGTGTTGGTGGGCATGCACGCACAGATCAAGGTTAACTGAAGGAGCTGGGGGTGCTAGCTGCTGTCTGTATTGATTGAGAGTGTGATTGTTCACATTGCTGATGGCTTCATTAACTAGCTGCTCTTCTACAGGACCCCCCTCATCCAGTTTGGCCCTCACAGCAGACTAAAGACCCACCGCTGGAAGCTTCTGCCATAGCAAATTCTCCTGCCCTGTTAACACATTAACATTCCCCTGCACTCAATGGCATACACATTTTTATTTCTTTCAATGAGAAAGGGAAAAAAGCAAGGTGGGGGCTAGTGCTAGGAAACAAAAGACTGACTATGCTGAATGCAAATTCTGCTCAAATACATGTAACCTGATTGTGTCACTGCTGCTTAAGGGGAGATGAATGACTTCCCCTTGCTGTGTAACTAAACAGCCACAGACGCCTATATAACTGCATAACAATCAATTTACCCGCAATTTATGACCAATTGATAAAAGCACATCCAATTTCTTAACTCTGCTGATGACAAATAGACATTATAGAGACTGAAAATGTCTTATAGCTGATGCAAAAATGCCCTGATCTAATGCTACATCACTGCAAGCGTGGACACGTCCATCACCTCAAGAACAAACACATTACTGTAAGGGGCATCATCATAATGGCCTTCAAACATATGGCCATCCATCTTCACAGCATGAGTGTGTGTCCCCCTGTGTCTGAGTGCTTGAATTAGTACTTAAGTGAGGGAGACCTTGTGGGAATACACCTGCTGGTGGGTGGGAGAAAACGATAGCGCCTGTTTCTGTGAGGTTATTTATTTCTTATTGTATTTGTTATTTAGGTTATGCTGTTAATCATAAGTGCTTTACACCATGTTGACAAAAGCATCTCTTGCATTTTAATATGAGCTCTTCTCTTAATCTGCCACAACTTTGCTCTGCCCACAGTGCAATCTCACTGGTTCCTGTAAAGCACAGATGTATATAGAATGCATTAGTGCCCGCCCACTTTTTCAGCAGCCTTGGTTCTGGTATTTTTTTCTATTCATTTTTCCTATAGGGATTTTTAAAAAATGCTTTGTTAAAGCGTTATATGCCATGTAACAAGCCAACCAGCTATAAGGTGAATTACAACTTTACAAACTTTAATTTGAAGCAAAAAAAGTATTTGAAAATCTGACAAAAAGACAGCGGTATTGAACGGTATACATAATGGCTTTCCCTTTGGAGAAAACAAATGAGTTCCCTTTCAGTCGGTCACTCTCGACTGCCCGTTCAGGTTGCGAGCTCATTCAACTAGAGTGTTGCATCCTCCTTCTAGTGTAGAACGCAACATCTGGGTCATGACCAGACCACAAAACTGATGAGAGCGGATCTGGAGAAAATACAATGACTGGATCGAAAACCCTCAAAAGAAACATGTATCTATGTTTTTTTTTTAAATACTGAAACTCTACATGAAAAAACACAACATGAATAAAACACAATTGCACTGTATGACACGATCCACTTGAGAAACAAAATAATGTAAGATAAGAAGTTTTGTTTTCTGATATTTTATTATTATTATTATTTTTTTTTTTTTAATTAAAAAAGTTTGTTTAAAGCAAGAACAAATATCTGCCAATGGGAAAGAAAATGTAACTTATTCAAAAGGAAAACAAGTTTATTTTTCTTCCCGCAGTGGACAGAAAGATATTTTCCTATATTTTAAGAATTAACTCATTTAATTTTGATACATTTATCAGAAAAAAAAGACTTGATATGTTATGTCACTTTGCCTCAAGTAAATGAATCTTGATTTAAAGTAATTTGAAGTCTTTTTTTCTATTGCTAACGGCTCATCCATGTATGTTTAATAAAAAAAATAAAAATTTGTGAGCTCGTAATTTTTTATCAAAATCTTGTGAAAATGACATACTTCTTTTTGGTGATTTATGCAAGAATTCTTGAATCATTTAGTCCATTTAATCCAGCCCCTGCAAGCTCATCGCAAAATCCATTCAACAACCAATGCACAGAACCAAGTCCCTGCTCTACATATTTTCTTTTCAATGTTTATTTTTTAATTTTTTTTAACATACTATTTAAGAAATTCACTTTTTGTGGTGAGAGTAATAATAGTCCAACATTCACACAGCAAAGGTTTACCAAACTCACTCTTAAAATGCAGTTGTGAATGCTGAATTTGATAAATTTATCAGAAAAAAAAGACTTGATATGTCACTTTGCCTCAAGTAAATGAATCTTGATTTAAAGTAATTTGAAGTCTTTTTTTCTATTGCTAACGGCTCATCCATGTATGTTTAATAAAAAAAATAAAAATTTGTGAGCTCGTAATTTTTTATCAAAATCTTGTGAAAATGACATACTTCTTTTTGGTGATTTATGCAAGAATTCTTGAATCATTTAGTCCATTTAATCCAGCCCCTGCAAGCTCATCGCAAAATCCATTCAACAACCAATGCACAGAACCAAGTCCCTGCTCTACATATTTTCTTTTCAATGTTTATTTGTAATTTTTTTTTAACATACTATTTAAGAAATTCACTTTTTGTGGTGAGAGTAATAATAGTCCAACATTCACACAGCAAAGGTTTACCAAACTCACTCTTAAAATGCAGTTGTGAATGCTGAAAGTTTAAGTCAGTTGATTGTTCCATTTATAATCGAATTAAGCATGAATGGAACTGAATTTAGCACTGTAAAACATGACTGACAGCCATTTCTGCTGCTGTTTGAGCGTAGCCAATGTGTGTTTCTGAGTGCATGTAAAAATGGCACTCCATTTCACTGGTCAGTAGGTTTGTGTGACAGCTAATATTAAGGACAGAGTGAATCCTACTTTCAAGAGAGAGAAAGATAAAGAAAGAGAGATTCTGGGTAGAATGCCAGGGCATTTCGCAATTCTCACTACTTGGCTTCATGGTCTGAAAGGCCCAGACAATCCCACAAATTCATTTATTGTGCATTCTGCACACACACAGCCCACTCATATTCTCCCATTAAAACAATCTCTTCTTTGAACTCAATATTTTCACCTAAATGTGCTTTTTGGCTCATCTTCCTGATTGCCAGACTGTTCCCGGACATGTCTGCAACAGCCGTGACAGCCAACACAAATGCTGTCTAAATGCTGAGGAATGTAAGCCTGTTGCTCTCACAAACACAGCGAGGTTTATACTCACCACAGAATTCTGAAACGCACATCCGAGTGCCAGGAAAGACGGCATGGTGCAAAGAAAATGGTTTTGGAGTGAGTGATTTCCATTTGTGTGTGGGTGTGTTTGTGGCTGGGGGGGGGGGGGGGAGTGTGTGTGGGTGTTTGTTTAGCTCAAGTTATGTTTATTTAAGGGAGTGTGGGTCTTCATGGCGGAGGGTCCTAGAGGTGTAGTTGTGTAGGAGTGAGTCTGTTTGGTAATTTTCTCTAGCCTATTACTGTGTGTGTGTGTTCTCCAGTCTGTTTACTAAATGCAAATGTGTTTTGTGCTGGTGAAGGGGCTTGAACAGATTGTGCCTGTGCCATATTATGCTTCAGTGCGTGAGTGGGTACGTGTACGTTTGACCCTTACTGTTCTCAGTAGACAGGGCAGTAACTGCGTTGGTTGCCGTGACGTCAGATTTGACCTGGCCGTTCTCAAAAGCATAGCCCTCAGTCTCTTGCAGCTGCCAATTCAATCCAAAGAGATGCATGGCTGTGGAGAGAGAGACACAAGAGAGAGAAATGATCACTTAAGAATAAAGGAACAGGATGCAATGGATTCAGAAGGAGTGAAAATGCTGTAATGTAATGTAATCAATATTTTGCCCCTGTAAAACATCTTTACGGATGGTTGCTTGGGCCAGTTGCTATCAGGTTGATGGCCCAAGTCACCTTCACCGCCAAGTTTCTATGATTTTCTGGCTCTTGAATATGACTTGGGACCCTCCTTCAGTGTCTAGGGGATCTTTATTGTCTGGTTTGACCACTTAGAAAAGTAACAGGACATCTTGTACTTAATAAGCCATATGATTTCAACATTTATTCATGCATCACAAAATGAGTGGGAGAAGTTACATGCTAAAGATTAACACATAAAGTATCAACAAAAGTAATGGTGATACTTCCCATTATAAACACCACTAGAAAAAATGGTCACAATTCATATTTTTTATGGAATACTGCAGTAACTCATGCCATCATAATCTTTAATCTTTAATCAAAAACAAAGTCCCTTGCCCCTCGCAACAACATCTCTTCCTTGATGATGTGTACACAGGCGCAGGGCAATAAAACTGTCTTACAGCCAGACGAGTTTCAATCCCTCTCCTCCAGCAACCTGTCACTCACATGAAACCATCGCATAAATTAGCAAGCGACAGTAAACTAACAATCCAATCCATTCCCAATGGACAAAATCAAGAACCGCTCTACATTTTTCTTTTTGTTTGAAAAGCTGTTTCACTTGGAAAAATGTCACAATACTGAAGAAAAGTCAGTCGCAATTACAGATACAAGGCAACTTTAAAGATAAATTCTAATAAACTAATCAGAGAGATGTTGTGTAATCAAGCCCCTATAATGACCTTTTGAAAGAAGAATAAACAGCTACATGTCTTGTATTGATTTGTTTGTGCATTATTTTACACAGAGGAACTCTTTAAACAGTCATTGTTATGTGTCAAGTGAGAACAGCAATTCATTCATCAAAGCTCAAGTTAAAATAGCTCTAAGATACTAGAGTAGCCTCAGCTGATGAATTTGGTATTAGTGACAGGAGAGACTGTGTGGCTGTGCTGTGGACTAATATGTTTAAACAGCTGCTTTGGCTGTCTCATTTCACTTGTTCCTGAAATGTCTGAATGTTTTTACCAAACCGTGCTTGGAATTCAAAGGTTTGAAAATCACATTTGGCCTGTACAGAATATTTGTGAGGTTCAATTCAGGTGTGGCTAGAAACACAACTGGCTACATTTCAGGGTGGGTTTGCCAAACGTTCTTTCACGGATTCTGCAAACGGCCCCTGTGGGCAGCATGACGACCTGCGTGAATCAGCACCCATTTGAGCATGTTTTGTTTTCCTGGTGATGCGTCTAAAGCACATGCTTGGAAAGGTCATACAGGATAGTGTACAATCTGTAGGATTCTGTAGGAACTAAGCCATCATGAGGCCTGATCCTTATATGGGGAACCAGTTGGCTGTAAACTGAGAGGAAATACAGTGAAATGTCAAGGGGTTGACAAAAATACTGCTCTAAAATAGTTGTAATGGAGGAATAGGTAGGTTATTCGTTTTGCAGACACTGAGGAATACACTGCAGCGATTTGTGTAAGCTTTCTCCATTTCAATCTTAACCCTACCTGGATCAAATCCATAACATATATATAGTCATCCCAGAACCTTAAGGGGACAATTCACCCAAAAATAAAGATTCTTGAAGATTCTAAAAGAAAATGTTTATCTCATATATGTCATTCACAGATTTAAGTATGTCTATGCATTAAACAGATCTGAGAGCTACAGTATAGCAGAGGACAATATTATGTCATACAATATAATATTGTAATAGTGGCTTCATTTCGGTCTGTCTCTCACACAAAACTACAGTATCAGCTTCAGGAGATTATCATATACTTTTATGATACATATTTTGTCCTATTTGGAGCTGAATTGCCTGTCTTCTCTGTATGTGTTTATTGCATAGCAAAGAGCAGCATGAAAGTCCCTTAAAATGTTTCAGTGTTCAGCAGAAAACAGCAAGTCATACATACAAATTTGAATCAACATGAGATTGAAAAAATATACTGTATTTTCATGTTTGGCTGAACAATTGAACAACAATGCTATTTAGAGCCTTAATCTAGTGGTAATTGTGATGTCCCCGTGATTTGTGATATCATTAGCTGTTTTTGTCTTGCATTAGTATGAGAATCTCATTGGAGATACTGTATATGGGTCCTTGTATGTAGGTGTGTGTGGTAGCTGTGCTGAGGTGGGCTGCTCTGAGGGGACAGACTGATCCTCTCTCTGAGTAACAGCAGTGTTAGCTGCAGACGTTGGCTCTAATAAAGGTAATTTAGACCTGCCAACAACCCCCACTGGGTCTCTTCATGCCCCCAGAGTACACACACAACCTCCCCACATAAATCATTCTCCTTCTCTCTGTGCTGGTGTATTTGTGTGTGTTTACTTGTGTGTGTAAAGTTTCTTATGTGTGCTTGTTATCTGGAGCTGTAGGCTTTTGCTGGTATTCCTGAAATGTGCAGATAAAGCTCTCCAGCTCGTTGTAACATTATACAGCTAAAGCGCTCCAACGACATGGAGCGTTAATGAGAGAGAGTATTGAAGAGTTGAGGTGCGAGAGAGTTTCATTAAAGTATTTGAGCAGTAATTGGCTTATAAAATTCCTTAAGCTCATCCTCCAAACTAACTCTATATCTTTCTGTCTGGTCCTCTCTCACTCTTTCTCTCATTAAATTAGATACCCGCTGGGTCAGCCCGTTCACGGAGCAGCCAATGTCCAGCACTCTGACCTTAGCCGAAGCAGGGGGTTACGGGAGAGTGGGCGGTATTGACTTCTCCGGCAGAAAGATGGCCACCCCCTGCTGATCTGATTGAGCTGCTTGCCGACACACTTTTGAGCAGGCTACTCCATTAACTTTCGGCATCGTAAACGAGAAACGAATATGGAAGTGCAAAGTTTTTCACCTCTGTATCGAATTCTTATTGTTAATGAAACAGTTTCTTGATGGTCAGTTGGATTCACTTGTTGCAATATCTGAAACTGAAACTAGTGTGGATGAATAAATAAATCTTAAAAAGAAGACAAATTTATGGGCACGCATGGATCTAAGTGCCGCAGGGCATTCGGGAACAATCATGCATGTGTATGGAACACATCCAGGCTATTAGAACACAAATGCGCCAAGTGCAAAATAAAAAAGCGTCTAGTTCTCTCAGCTGACAAAGAATGTAAATTGGCTGTTAGGTTTTTTCCTCATTTCCTTTCCCTCGGTTGTCTCGCGAGTGCTAAAACAGCTAAAGGTGGGCAAGATCATGGGAGGTGGATCGCTTTGTTGATGAGGCTTGGGAACGGAGCGATGAATGATAAAGCAGGCTTCAGAGAAAGACCAATTCTACATGGGGTGAGTGGAGAGAAAGAGAGAGAAAGAGGGCAATGGAGGGAAGCACAATGCCTGATCAGTTTGGAAGTGGGCCGCTGCTGCCTCAGGTGTATGCAGAATGAATGAAAAAGAGAGGAAGCAGGAAGAATGAGTTTTCACCAGGGCAGGGTTCACATGCAGAGTGGTAAGATTTACAGTTAACTAAATGCAAGGCAACTTATACAAGGCAGGATTGGTGGTTATGTAACCAGTGGGACTTGCAATGCTATCGAGGACCCAGTGACGCTTCATCTTAAAATACAGCTCCATATTTCTCACTGTATGTCATTTATGATCATTAGCAAGAGGATGGGGAAACTGGCTTTCTGTGACTCAACGAGAAACTATTTTCAGAATTAGTGTGAGGAAAAAAAACAGCAAGCAACACCAACAAAACTGAAAAAACAAAACAAAAAAATTAACAGTCGTGAACCGTTGCATTTAACTGCGAGGGAGACACGCCAATGAATAAAAAAGACTTTCTGCAGCAATAAATCAAGGGCAAAACCAAATGTCCTTCCATCCCTCAGGGTGTTGTGAGTAGAGCCGTTGACAGCCTGTCCCCTGAGCATTTCCAAATCACCCACATAAATTACCTCAAACTCTCACCGTCCTTATTTACAATCATCAACCACTTTTTGCAAGGCACCAAAGCTACATTTTTGTATGCTTATTTAAAAAAAAAAATACTTATGTGTATTCAGAAATTTCATCAATGTCAATCAAAACTTGCTTTTTCGAATTCAGGGTGAACAAGGTACAGATTAAAAAAAAAAATGACTCAGACTATTAATTATTCTAAAATAATTTAGTGAAAAACATAAGTGGGAGGACAAAGCAGCTCGCTAAACTGTGAAAATAAGAGTGCACTGTGGAAAGACTGAGTTAATATTTTCTCCAGAGTGTCACTACTCATTCGTGGAGACAGAGTCCGAATGAAAAACTCTGCCTGGCTGTGCCTAAATGTAAAATGCTTTTCAGAGGTGTGAAAAGCTGTGAAGTATTTATGAACAGCTTCTCCATCTTTTAAAACAGGACTGAGGAAATCTTGGCATGCCATGCTTCCTCTGGCTGGTGTTTGGTCCACTGGGGCACCTTTATGAGTTTCTCCAGCTTTTGGCCTCAATGCTAGAAGCAAGGTGGAGAGGCCATCGGCACTCTGTTCAGAAGAGGTAACTTACTCACCATGTGCATCACTTTACTTTAAAAAAGGGAATAGTTGAGGGAGGGTGTATAGATGTCTTGGTTGTGAAGCCATGCTTTGCTCATGAATGCACAAATAATTTAACATGATATTTTTTCTGTTTTGCTTAATAAATAGTCAATTTTACATATTGATTCGGAGATCAGGTCTGTAGTCCAAGAAAAAAAAAAAACATGAAAAAGCTAAAATATCCAAAATATGCTGGAAAACAAAGTATATGCAGGATGTGCACAGTTATTCTAAAGAACAGTGGACAGCTTAACTGCTTAGGATAAAAAAAGGACTTGTGAACAACTATGAAATGAAAACTGCTGGAAAGGCATATGCTGGCATGAAGCCCTTCCATC